GCCCTTCCTCTTCCAGCTCTGGAGAGTAGCTCCAGGAATACATAAGTCTTCTGTGTTCAGCTGGTCCTTATTCCACTGCAGGGATCCTCTAGCTGGCTGACTTTCTCCTGCAATGGAACTCTTCTCAATCATGCCTCCACCACCCCAAATTGAGGTACATTAGGCATAGGCTGAATGGAGGCTACCCAAAGTCACTTTTGAAGGTGGCTTTTGTTAAAGAGAGCCTTCTGGAATGTCATAGTCCTAGAGTTTAAGGCCAGGAGGGACCACCAGATCATCTAGTTCAGTGGTTCTCAACCGGGGGTACGCAAAGGTCTTCCAGGGTGTACTTCAACTCATCTATCAGGGGGTAGCCGTCTTTGTCTGTATCCACAAAAACAAGGAGTCCGGTGGCACCTTAAAGACTAACAGATTTATTTGGACATAAGCTTTCGTAGGTAAAATACACTTCTTCAGATGCATCTGGGGCCCAGAATTGCTGTCGGCAGGCCTGTTTACACTGCTCTATATACTGTACACTGAAATGTAAGTACGGTATTTATATTCCAGTTGATTTATTTTATAATTATAAAATGAAATTGAGAAAGTAAGCAATTTTTCAGTATTAGTGTGCTGTGACACTTTTGGATTTTTATGCCTAATTTTGTAAGCAAGTAGTTTTTAAGTGAAGTGAAAGCGGTACAGTAGTCTGGAAAGTTGAGAGCCACTGATCTAGTCAGATATCCTATATATCCTAGGCCACTAACTCCACCCAGCCACCCCCACCCTAAACCCAACAACTGGAATTAGACCAAACTAGTTAATTTGGAATGGGGGGCTCAGCAGGGGTGATAGGCAACACACTCTTTCTAAAAGTGTGTGTGGGGGGCGTCGTGAGACCCTGCCTCCTCTATGGCCTTGCCCCTCCTCCTCCCCCTGAGACCCCGCCCCCAGACTAAGTCGGAAGCCAGAGCCAGGTTGGGGAGCCTGGGCCCCTCCACCTGCCTGGAGGGAGGGCCTGAGAGAAGCCCCCAACCTGTGTCCCCTCCCTCTGGTCCCCCTGCAGGTTGGCGGCTCCCCACAGCTGCCCGTGTAGCTCTTACCCCAACTTGGCTCCGGCTTCTGGCTTGGCCTGGGGGACGTAGAGCCACAGTCGGGCCATGGTAAGAGCTGCCCAGGCAGCTGTAGGGAGCCGGGGACCCTCCAACTGCCCTGGGCACGGGGACACAGATCGGGTGCTGCTCTCAGGCCCCCCCAACCCAGGCATGTGAAGGTCTGCAGCTCCCCATAGCTGCCTGGGCTCCCTGAGCCACTCTTACCCAGGTCAGGCTCCAGCTTCCAGGATTCGGGGGAAGAGGAGGGGCAGGAGGCCGGGCCCGTGGCAAAAAGTGGACAGGCCAGGCCTCTCCACTTTCAAGAGAGACAGAGAGAAACCACTTAAAGGAAGCTTTGCTGGGCTTGGTAAGTCTGAAAAGAATGGGAACTGCATTGCCTTTGTCTCATTGACTCAGAGCTTAATTTGTTCAGGGCGTTTGCCAGGGCTCAGCATCGGCATCTCTTTTCATGCTGGGGCTGTGCCCTGGCACCTTTTCTGTCAGCAGCATGCAAGACGTTCAGTGTATGCAAGGCCGTGCTGTGCAGAGGATGCCATCTTTATTGCTTGATCCCTGGCACCTCTTATTCTACACTTTAAGAACTGAAGACTTTCCTGCTGAGCATCACTTGTATTTACTTCATTGTTCTTACATTTACCTACCAATGGTGAAGGGAACAGCAGTGAAACTAAGTTTAAATGCACAGAAGTCCCTTTCTTTTAACTGCATGGCAGAGCCTGCAAGTGAAGGCTTTGATTGGGTTTTTACTACTGAGTCTGCTGTAAAATACGTAAAGAGTGACTTGTATCTGAGATCAGTTTAGCACAGCTTCTACAGGCTTGGCAAGATGGAGTCTTCCTTTTCATTCACCTGGCAGAAATTGTGGACCTTGTATGGCATGTAGTCTATAGAAGTCTCTGCTGCAGTTAATGTGCAGGACACCCTCAGAGGGTCTAACTGTAGGAGTCAAAACTCCCTTAATTAGTTATATTCCCTCCCCCAACTACAGTGTCAGATCACCAGCTGTCAATCCCATTTACTTCCAGTAGATCAAACCAAGAATATAGTGCAGAGAACAATCCTACATTGGCAGGGGACAGACAACACAAGGGTCTTTCTTCATTTCTAATTTATAGGATTCAGCCAAAAGACAATTTGAGACTGAACAAGAAAATCCACATGAACTGAGTAACAAAAACTGTAAATGTGAGTGCATGGTTTTGTTTTGTAGTATTTTATTGATACGTCTAAAGGTATGCATCCGAAGAAGTGGGCTGTAGTCCACGAAAGCTTATGCTCTAATAAATTTGTTAGTCTCTAAGGTGCCACAAGTACTCCTGTTCTTTTTATGGTACATCAGTTCTGAGCTGCTGAAAATGTCTAGCACCACTAGGTTTTCTGTTATTTTTGGCATTAAAAAAGTCACCTACAACTCTGCTTCCTGCTGGGAATGGATAATGCAGATGAGATTTTCCTATACCCGTTAATCTGTTTTATTGATTCCATATTGGAAAGCCAATGTACAGATGTGGAACACATGAGGCTGCTGTCTATGAGAGAAAAGCATGTGAGTGGGATGGAAGGAACAAATAAAAAAACAAAGACATTGCCAGGACCAAATCAATAATGACAAATATAAATGTAAGGCCCAGGACTGGAATAGCAGAGAGGGCCTCCAACCAGGAATGTCCTACAGGGAGGAAGAGCTCTGTCAGATGGGATGTGCTGTAGGTTAAATGATCCAGATCCTGCGACTTGCCAGAGTAAGAACAGAATAAACTGTACTCGCACATGTGCAAGTGAGCAAGGCTGGAAGCAGAGATGCCATCTGTGATGGGGGCAGAGCTGTCACATTTCTGTAATCTAACAGCAGCTGCCTTTGAAGCAAGACTGAATAATGTGGGTTATGAACAGTGGGGTATGGTCACTGCTAAAAAGGAGAGATTATGAGGGTTAGCGGTATAAATAGTAGTGCTGGAACAGTCCCAAATAAAATGACAGGTTGCTTTGCAAAATCTTCTCTGTAATGTGCCGCCGAGGACAGAGATGGACAGAAAGTCTTTTCCCAGCCCCGGAGCAGCTCAAGCCTTAGCTGGTTAAAATGCTTCCCCCAGCTTGAGTGCATCTATAAAACTTTACATATTAAATAAACGAGCTCTTCCTTGTCTGCCTCTCAGCCTGGCTGCTTGGTTTAAAGAAATGTGCTGAGTCACAGGGTGGGTCCTCACCCTGGTTTGGACAGGACCTACTCTTGACTATCCTTTAGTGCAGGGGTGGCCAACCTGTGGCTCCGGAGCCACGTGCGGCTCTTCAGAAGTTAATATGCAGCTCCTTGTATAGGCACCGACTCTGGGGCTGGAGCTACAGGCGCCAACTTTCCAATGGGCCAGGGGGTGCTCACTGCTCACCCCTGGCTCTGCCACAGGCCCTGCCCCTTCTCCACCTCTTCCCGCACCCTCCCATGAGCCTGCCGTGCCCTTGCTCCTTCCCCACCAGAGCCTCTTGCATGCCACAAAACAGCTGATTGGGAGGTGCGGGGAGGGAGGGGGAGGCGCTGATTGGCAGGGCTGCTGGTGAGTGGGAGACGCTGGGAGCAGGTTGGGGGGAGCTGCTGGGGGGTTGCTGATGTATTACTGTGGCTCTTTAGCAATGTACATTGGTACATTCTGGCTCCTTCTCAGGCTCAGGTTGGCCACCCCTGGGTTAGTGAGTGGTTTGGATTCCCCTCCTTGCACTAGCCTGGACACCTTCTCCTCGAAGGGATTCAGTCTGAGGGAAGGCAAGAGTTGCTTCTCACTTTGAGCTCTCGCTGAGTAGGGCAGCTTTGTTTTCTACCTGGGATTTCCTAAGGGTCTTGCCTACAGATGTGATGAAATAGCAAAAGTATTGCTATGTTCCTTCCTGGGCAGGGCTGCATTTTACAGATGTAACCATCATACCCCTCCATGGGTTGTTAGCAGAAGGGTTCAAACCTTGGTCAGGTGGATTTGAACACACTAGCCTCTACAGCAGAGGTGGGCAAACTGCGGCCCGCAGGACCCTCTTGCCCGGCCCTTGAGTTCCCAGCCGGGGAGGCTAGCCCCCGGCCCCTCCCACCTCCCTCGCAGCCTCAGCTCGCTGTGCCACCAGTGCTCTGGGCGGCGGGGCTGCCGGCCTGCCCCAGTGCTCTAGACTGCACAGTGGCGTGGCTGGTTCCGATTGGGCTGCCAGTCCTGGTGCTCTGAGCGGCATGGTAAGGGGGCCTGTCAGGGGGCGGGGGTGTGGATAGGGGTCAGGGCAGTCAGGGGACAGGGAGGGTTGGATAGTGGGTGGGGTCCCCAAAGGGGGCAGTCAGGGAACAAGGAGCAGTGGGGGTTGGATGGGTCAGAGGTTGTGAGGGGGGCAGCCAGAGGGTGGGAAGTGGAAGGGGGCAGATAGGGGGCGGGGGCCAGGCTGTTTGAGGAGGCACAGTCTTCCCTACCTGGCCCTCCATCCAGTTTCAGAATCCTGATGTGGCCTTCAGGCCAAAAAGTTTGCCCACGCAGCCACCCCTGAAATTTTAAAATTTTATTAAGATGATGTTAAAAAAAATTGTGAACAGAGTTTGAGCATAGAAGTTTCTGGTTATCAAGGAATAACATACAGATTCTCGAGGGTGCAAAGTTTGGTTTAAGATAAGGTGGCATGAGGAACACATGATCTGCAATATCCCTGATTGGGAGTAAAAGGTTGATGTGTCAAAGTACAGACATTGAGATATGAGGGTCCTTCAGGCCAAAAAGTTTGCCCACCCAGCCACCCCTGCTCTACACTCTGACTAAAACCCTGTTTGCCAGGCTCATCAACCTCTCTATGTGGCCCAGCCACAGAGCGTGGTTTGCACAGGCAGCATTATCTGGTGAACAGCTTTCCAACAGTCTCCTCTTTCATTAGCTGCAGCTGGGCCTTGCCTCTCTGATTACTGGTAATGACCATCAGGAAGTAGTTGTTGATTTTGAAAACTCAGACTTTTTCTGCCTCTTTCTGAAAGGGAGGAAGCCCCTGTTACTTCTTTCTTAGACAAGCCAGCTTTCCTGATGGAGGGACACACACAGAGAAAGGGTTGTTTATGACATGGCAGCATGGGGAGAAGTGTAGAAACTGGAATACTGCAGCAATTTGAAGAAGCGAGAGCAAAGGAAGAACAGGTAAGTCTCAGCCACCCCCCATATCACATTGATAAGAAGAAAGGTTTCCAGAGTCAAAGAGGCTACTGTGGAAAGGGCACATCCCTCAGAGTCTGAGAATAGAGGAAAGAACGAAGCTCCCCTTTCAGGAGCACCTCTGTCATGGGTTACTATTAGGGTGACCAGATGTCCTGATTTTATAGGGACAGTCCTGATATTTGAGGCTTTTTCTTATGTAAAAGCCTATTCCCCCCTCTCCCCCCTCCCGTCCCAATTTTTCACACTTGCTGTCTGGTCACCCTAGTTACTACAGCCATGTCAGAAGGGAGAAGGCAGGAATCTCCTCTGCTTCTTGCTCTAATACACCCCTGAGAGTCCTCCTCCTCCTATCAAGACCCCACAGGCACTGAAGTCAAAAAATCTTTCCTTGCAAGAGTCAGTCATGCTGTATCAGAAGCGTTTCTCCTAATGTTGTGCAGCTCAGAGAGAAGGGATCCTGGGCCAGAATTGCCCCTAGATTGACTCTTGGTTTTGCAAAACTAGGTCTCCTCAGCCCATTTCTAATTTGCATTTAAAATGAGGGGCCAGATCCTCAGCACCAGCCTTTTGGTGCTCAATGAAGTTTGGGAGTGCGGAAGATTGCACAAAGGTGGCTTTAACTCTAGCCAGTCTCCAGGTATAACACAGAGCCATTCCAGCCCTCAAGGAGCACTCCAGCCATACCCATTTCCCCTTGGACATGATCCTGCATGGGTTGGGGCAGTGGCACAGAGCTATGCGATCTGGGGATTACCCTGAGCAGGGAGGTGCCCTCTTGGAGGCAAATATGCATGCTTTAGGGCTGCTTGGCACTGCCATAGAGGGACTGAGACTCTGGCCCAGAAATGTTTTGGCTTCATCTTCTCCAGCATGAGAGCACAGTCACTGTGCAACTATCCCTTGTTTTGGAAAGTGAGTGCAAGTTTGTGGTGGCAGACACTAAGCTCCTGTTTGTGGTGAAGCAGCTTTTAATAACTGTTCTGGAGTCAATGCCAAATTGCACGTTATGTGGCTATTGGGTGGTTACAATCTGACTCTTGCCATGTTTCTTACAGTAAATAGCATCAGGTGCCATGTTCTTATGATGCTCTATATCAATTACTGTTACTGAGGCTGCACATTAACTGTTTCCATGCTCAGGCCCCACTTGGGCACAGCACTTAGACATGTGAATTGGCCTGGGTGTGATCTAGGGTCTGAGCCAGTGAGGTTCTGAGTGCCCTCAACTCCAAGCCCTTACTGAGTGCACTTATCTGGAGAGACCCAGCCTGCCCTTGACATTCCAGGCAGTTGAATGGCCAGTCCACAGAGCTGTTTGTAAAACTGCTGTCAAAACCCATGCCCACACCAGTGGCAACAAAGGGGCAAAATACCAATCCAAGGGATCAATCTTGCGGGTTGCTGAGCCCCTCCCTGAGAGATGCTGAGTGCCTTCAACTCCCTTTGAAACTAATAGGAGCTAAAAATGCTCAGGACCTCTTAGCATCAAGCCCCAAGAGTTTAAATTTATCCAAGAACAAACAATGACTATCAAGCCCGTGTTTACTTTTGCTGCCTTTGTTGAGAACATTGAGTGGGAGTGATTCTGTTTGTCGGTGCATAGGCTTATTCTGTTTGTATCTGTGCTACAGTGTAACACTAAAAGCATCCACTGTCAGCTTGTAGTTGATCCAGATTGCTTTAAACATCAACTATTTTCTGTGTTTCAGGGGACTCACTGCAAAACCTTCCTAGGATGTGCAGGGACTGGCAATCTTCCATCAATCCTATTTGTTTGGGTGGCATTGATACAGAGTAATCCCAGAGTAAGTCTTGATCACTATGTGCACAGCTTTCTTTTAGATGGGATCTTAAGTAACATGTGGTGGTTTATGGGTTTGGGATGTGTAAGATTATACCCCTGGACCTGCAGAGATTGATTGTAAAACTGACCACTTGGCTATCAGAGAGTATTTTGATTTACTGGTAACACATTATATTTTAAAGACACATATAATTCCTTGTAAAATGCGACTGCAGAATTCTAAAGTCCTGTCTCAAAACATAGCAGCTTACAGTAGTGACAGTGCAGTGTGATAACTGCAGAGTACTGTAGTATTTCCTTTTATAAGGGATGTTTTATGCCTAAATTTAATCTCTTACCCGCCACCTCATTTCCTCAAGTGTTTGCAGAACATCATCTCCTAGTCAGTAAGAGACCAGAAGAGACAGAGTTTCAAGATCCTTACAGCCCTTCAGTTATTCTGCGAGCAAATTGCCATCATTCCTTTTCATGTCTCTTCTTTCTGAGTCACACACTTCTCTTATCATCAGCTCTTGATCTAACAATGCCATGTCCATGCCTTGACTGCTTATACAGTTTGATGTGCTTGTTGCCATGGGAAGTTTTGCTATAAATCAACACCTGAAAATATTGAAATTTGAAATTTTGTTTTATATCCTACTACAATCTGAGCTGCCTTCATGGTCTAGTAAATTTTACTAAGGTTTCATGGAGTCCATCAGGCTAAAGTGTTTACTAGTGCCTGTATGTCTATTAAAGCAAAAAACTATATTGGTTACACACACATGATGTGATGGCAATTTTTTTTTTCTTAGAGCCATTGCATATCATTTGGATCCTTATCTGAAAGCATCTAGGGATCTAATATTTGTTAAGAATGCAGACACTGTAGTATCAATGACAGGCCAGTTCAGCTCTGAAGCTGCAGTTGTTAAAACAGTGAGAGGAAGTTCAAATTAATTAGCACAATATCCTTATGAATGTCCTCTTGATTTAATAATTAAGCTGCGGTTCTCAAGAAGGAAATGGAGAATGCACTGAATCTGATTTTATAAAAGATGTACTTTGGCTCTGCAGTGGCAGTTCTTCCAACCACAGTGAATTCCCAGAGGAGATACACGTTTTAAAATAATAATAAAAACAACCAAGAGGAAGGATCCTGCATTTTGATTTTTTTTGACCAACCTCCAGAAGTTACCAGTAAATTTAAACCAGATGATGTTGGTAAAACCAATCAGGCAGTTGGCACCGTACATAGTAATTTGCACTGAACATTGTATAAATGAGCTTGGACAAATTTGTAGCCTCTCCTGGAAATGTGTAGAAAAATATACCGCAGAGCACCCAATGTGGAATCCTGTGAGTGTCCAGAGAAATATGCTTCCTTGTCTTCTTTCCTTTCCCCACAGGACTGTTGCACTGTTAGATGGAAAGAGCCCACGCATCCCACCAAGGCTTAGTTTTGCACTATGGCTCAGTAAACCTGCCGGGGGGGGGGGCGGGAAGGGGAGAAATAAGCTAGAACTTCCAGTTGTTTTTCCCTCCTCCCTCCCCCACATCCTTTTTTCATGTTTGAATCAGCTTGGGACATTGAACAGCTCTTCTCCCACAAAATGAAAACCACTTTGATTTATCCACCTGTCTGCTAGTGTATGGGGAAACTAGTTAGATGAAATCCTATGAGTAGGATTTGCATTTCATTAATGCTTTCCTTCTAGGGATCTCAAAGCACTTTACCAGCAATGCAGAGTTAAGCCTCTTTATTGAGAAACAGAGGCACAGATTGGGGGAATTACGTGCAAACGCACAATAGAATCATAGAAATGTAGGACTAGATGTGATCTTAATAGGTCATCTAGTCCAGTCCCCTGCACTCAAGGCAGGACTAAATGTTATTTAGACCATCCCTGACAGGTGTTTGTCTAACCTGTTCTTAAAAGCCTCCAAAGACGGAGATTCCATAACCTCCCTAGGTAATTTGTTCCCATGTTTAGCTATCCTGCCAGGAAGCTTTTCCTGATGTCTAACCTAAACCACTCATGCTGCAATTTTAGCCCATTACTTCTTGTCCTGTCCTCCGGGGATAAGAAGAACAGTTTATCCTCCTCTTTATAACAACCTTTTACATACTTGAAGACTATTATCTTGTCCCCACTCGGTCTTCTCTACTCCAGACTAAACAAACTCATGTTTTTCAATCTTTCCTCGTAGGTCATGTTTTCTAGACCTTTAATCATTTTTGTTGCTTGCCTCTGGAGTTTCTCCAATTTGTCCGTATCCTGCCCTAAGTGTGGTGTCCAGAACTGGACACAATACTCCAGATGAGGCTTTATCAATCCTGAGTAGAGTAAAACAGGGGTTCTCAAACTGGGGGGTCAGGACTCCGCAGGGGGTCACAAGATTCTTACATGGGGGGTTGCAAGCTGCCATCCTCCACCCCAAACATCCCTTTGCCTCCAGCATTTATAATGATGATAAATATATAAAAAGTGTTTTTAATTTATAAGGAGGGGTCACACTCAGAGGCTTTCTCTGTGAAAGGGGTCATCAGTACAAAAGTTTGAGAACCACTGGAGTAAAAGAATTACGTCTCGTGTCTTGCTTACAACATTCCTGCAAATACGTCCGAGAATGATGTTTGCTTTTTTTGCCACAGCGTTACATTTTTGACTTGTATTTAGTTTGTGATCCACATTAAGCTCCTGACACCAGATCCTTTTCTAGGCAGTCATTTCCCATTTTGTATTTATTCAATGGATTATTCCTTCCTAAGTGTAATACTTCTTTTCATTTGTCCATTTTGAATTTCATCCTACTTATTTCAGACCATTTCTCCAGTTTGTCAAGATCATTTTGAATTCTAATCCTGGCCTCCAAAGCACTTGCAACCCCTTCCAGCTTGGTATCATCTGCAAACTTTATAAGTGTCCTTTCTATGCCATTATCCAAATGATTTATGAAGATATTGAATAGAACTGGACCCAGGACAGATCCTTGCAGGACCACATTTGATATTGTCGTGGAAAGTCACCCACGCATTGATTTTAGTTCACAGACTCAAGCCTGAGGCCACTTTATTGTAATACATACCAATGCGTTGGGGTAGCAGTCCGAAAACTACCACCCCTAGCACAGCACGCAGGCTGCTTTTATTCCATCAAACCGCAAGCATAGTACAAATAATACGTCATTTATGCAAAAATAAGAGTTAGTCTGTCCCTTTTTTCCCGGCAGCTTCCTCATTATTTACGAGAATTGGGTGCCTATTCGGTGGGGGGGGGGCGTTTCTTGGTGGTTTCCAACATGGGTGGTACTTGGCACCAGTTGGAGTGTTGTTCTTGTCAAGGTACATATTGTTTTTTCCGGGGTTTTACGGTTAAGGACATAGGGGTTTATTACGGGACGCCCAAAGATGATATATGAATGGCTAGTTTGGCAGTTAGCTGGAACTTACGGGGGAAGTTGACCTTTACTAGAAGCAATTTCTTCATATAGGCGGTTATTATGTTTCATAAACAAGCGGTTATCATGTTCTCATAAACAAGCGGCTATCATGTTTTTCATAAACAAGCGGTTATTATGTTGCTAAAGCCTTTTGCATTGCTCCCTCCCCCTCCCTCCTCTGGTCATAGCCCATGACCGTATTTGGCAGGGGCCTGTATAGCTTAGTTTTGTTCAGACCCTGGCCTGTACTGTTCTATGCAAAGGCCGTCTGTATAGTCAGCTTCTGTCAGAGGGCCAGAATTTGGGCCTTCGGTGTTACTTTGGCTGCCATAAAGGCCACCCAGTTCTTTTTCCCCACAATAGGGTCTTCCAGATAGAGTAGTTATCAATGATTCTCAGTCAGAGTACAGTTTTCCAGTTACGCACCCACCTTATACTAGGTTCATCTAAACTATATTTTCCTAATTTGTTTATGAGCAGGTCATGTGAGATAGTATTAAAAGCCTTACGAAAATCAAGATATCACATCTACTACTTCCCCCTATCCACAAGGATTGTTAGCCTGTCAAAGAAGGATATTGGATTGGTTTGATGTGATTTGTTCTTGACAAATCCATGTTGACTGTTAGTTATCACTTTATTTTCTTCTTCATGCCTACAAATTGATTTTGTTTATTTGATTCATTATCTTTCCAGGTACGGAAGTTAAGCTGACTGATCTATAATTCCCTGGGTTTTCCATATTCCCCTTTTTTATAGATAAGTACTATATTTGCCCTTTTCCTGTCCTCTGGGATCTCTCCCATCCTCCACTAGTTCTCAAAGATAATCACTAATGGCTCAGAGATCTCTTCAGCCAGTTCCTTAAGTATTCTAGGATGTACTTCATTAGGCCCTGCTGACTTAGACATCTAACTTGTTCTATTCCTATTTTAGCCTCAGGGTATGTCTTCACTAGCAATGTTAAAGTGCTAAAGTTGCAGCATTGTAAAGTGGCAATGTAGACAAGGCCTTAGGTCGTACCCCATTGATGTTCACTATCTCAGTTGTCCGATCGCTGCTAACCTTTTTGGTGATAATTGAAGCAAAAAAGGCATTCAACACTTCTGTCACTGCTGCATTTTCTGTTTTTTTGTCTTTCCCTCCTCATTGAGTAAAGGGTCTACCCTGTCCTTGGTTTTCCTCTTGCTTCTAATGTATTTGTCGATTTATTTATTTTTAATCTTTTACGTCCCTAGCTAGTTCAATCTCATTTTGTGCCTTGGCTTTTCTAATTTTATCCCTACATGCTTATGTTGGTTTTTATATTCTTCATTAGTAATCTGACCTCATTTCCACTTTTTGTGTCCCTCTTTTTTGAGTTTCAGATCATTTGGAGATCTCTTGGTTAAGCCAGGGTGGTCTCTTACCATGATTCTGATTTTTCCGGATAGTTTGCACATGTTCCTTTAGTAATGTCGCTTTTAAAAAAACTGTCAACTTTTCTGAACACCACCCCCCCAGGCCCCCTTAGGGTATGTCTACACTATGAAATTAGGTCGATTTTATAGAAGTTGATTTTTTAGAATTCGATTGTAT